GCACTCCAGCCTGGGTAACAAGAGCAACACTCTGTCTCAAAAAAAAAAAAAAAAAAAAAAAAAAGAGATGATAATCATGTGTACCTTTCGGGAATGTTGAGAAGCTTAAATGAGATAAGTGCCTGACAATAGTAGGTGCTCAATAAATGGGACTGTCATTAGGTAACATGAGCATCAGTTGGGAAGCTACTCTGCCTGTGTTGTCAAGAGATTCCCCTTCCTGCTGCCCCCGCCCCATGCATTTCAAAGCCAAATAGCTCCGATTTGGGGTAGGCAGCTATTTCAGACCCTAAGATTAGTTTGAGAAGACCTCCTGGAGGAGGGGAGTTCAAGGGCAAGTAAGGAAAATGGGAGAGATGGCAGGCTCAGCAGGGTGGAGCTGAGTGGCTTAGACCCCGTCTGTCCTTATCTCCAGGACTGCGCCCGGGGCACTGCCAACTGTGTGGTGTTCAGCTGCCCACTCTACAGCTTCGACCGAGCGGCTGTGCTGCGTGTCTGGGGCCGTCTCTGGAACAGCACCTTTCTGGAGGTGAGGATACCACTGGGGATCCAGTTTGTGTTTCTTCTTCCCCCAAAGCCCCTCCGGGACTCACTTCTCCTCCTCCCTCCTCACTGTCCAAATGCAGCATCCTTTTTATCTTTTTTTTTTTTGAGGCAGTCTTGCTCTGTCCCCCAGGCTGGAGTATAGTGGCACGATCTCAGCTCACTGCAATATCTGCCTCCTGGGTTCATATCTGCCTCCCGGGTTCAAGAGATTCTTATGCCTCAGCCTCCTGAGTAGCTGGGACTACAGGCATTTGCCACCACAGCCAGCTAATTTTTACATTTTTCATAGAAATGGGGTTTTGTCATGTTGGCCAGGCTGGTCTCAAACTCCTGACCTCAAGTGATCCACCTCCCTTGATCTCCCAAAGTGCTGGGATAACAGATGTGAGCCACTGTGCCCAGCCCAAATGCAGCATACTCTTAACTGAAACCAGGCAGAAACATCCTCTGTGTTGGGCCCCATTCCATTTATAATTTCAGGAGGTTACAGGGAGAGAGGGAGTCATGGGACATTTAGGAGAAGGGTCTCCTTCCCTGTTCCTTTAGGAGTACTCAGCTGTGAAGTCCCTGGAAGTGATCGTCCGAGCCAACATCACAGTGAAGTCCTCCATAAAGAACCTGATGCTCCGAGATGCCTCCACAGTGGTGAGCTGCAGGGCTGGGGGATGGGTGGGGAGCACTCTCTTCTTTCCTGCTCCCTCCAGCTCTTGCTCCATTGGCCTCTTACTCCCCAGATCCCGGTGATGGTATACTTGGACCCCGTGGCTGTGGTGGCAGAAGGAGTGCCCTGGTGGGTTATCCTCCTGGCTGTACTTGCCGGGCTGCTGGTGCTGGCACTGTTGGTGCTGCTCCTGTGGAAGGTGAGACTTGGGGGAGGGTGGGGCTGATGGGGGTGGAGTTCCTGGTTGGGTGGGCAGCCTTTTGTACTGTGGTTCTCTCACCTACCCACTCATGTATTCAGCAAATCTGCACTGAATACTTACCCTGCATGTCTCAGGAACTCTATTAGTCCCTGGATGTTTCAAAGATAAATCGGATGCAGGCTTGGCTGTGGTGGCTCACGCCTGTAATCCCAGCACTTTCGGAGGCCAAGGCGGCTGGATCACTTGAGGTCAGGAGTTTGAGACCAACCTGGCCAACATGGTGAAACCCCGTCTCTACTAAAAATACAAAAAATTAGCTGGGCATGGTGGTGTGTGCCTGTAATCCCAGCTACTCAGGAGGCTGAGGCAGGAGAATTGCCTGAACCCGGGAGGCGGAGGTTGCGGTGAGCCGAGATCGCGCCATTGCACTCCAGCCTGGGTAACAAGAGCGAAACTCCGTCTCAAAAAACAAACAAACAAAAAAAAAAAACAAAACAAAATTAGCTGGGCATGGTGGCACACACCCGTAGACCTAGCTACTTGGGAGGCTGAGGCAGGAGAATTGATTGAACCGGAAAGTGGGAGTTCCAGTAAGTTGAGATGGCACCATTGCACTTCAGCCTTGGTGACAGACAGAGACTCCATCTCAAAACAGACAAACAAAAACCCCCAAAAATAAACAACCTCCCCCCCAAAACCCCAAAACAGCGAAAAAAGAAGAAATCAGATGTGGATCTTGTTCTCAGGGATTTTATAGTCTGATGGGGTGGGAGTGGTGAGCCTGTAGTCAAGGACAAGGCAGAAAGTGTTGAGTTGAGAAAATGCAGTGGGAGTTTAGAAGGAAAAAAGCTTGAGAGGAGGTGGCACTGGAAGCAGTCCTTAGAGGAGGGTGGGGTAGTAGGGTTAGGATGTAAGGAGATGAGGTGGGTGGGGTCCAGCCGGACCATGGTAGGCAAAGTCACGGCAGCAGAGAAGTGTGGTCTGCCTTAATTAGAACATGGCAGTGAAAACCGGAAAGGTAACAGTGGCTAAGAAGGCCGACAAGCATAGAGAGCGGCCTCCAGGGAACCGTCCTTAGGGTGGAACTCAGAGCTTCCACATACCAGGCTCTGCATGGAAGCATTCTTGTATGCACAGAGCTGTATACAGAATCACATTGGCATTCAGGCTCAATGTAAAAATACACACATGCACACATCAGTACAGGGCATCACACACATCATCAGGGGTCATATGCTGAGCCCTCTGCCACATCAGGGGCTGTGTTCAGAACCATGCATGTCCTTGGGGCTCTGGAGAACTGCCCCTGCCTGTACCTGCTCCTTGGGATGAATCACAGATGGAGCATACCCTTTGGCAAGTGTGAGTCACCAGTAGACCAGGGTCTGGAGTGGCATCTACGCTGTTGGGAACCTGCCCAGTCTCAGGGGAGATTGATGCCTCTGTAAAACTGGTCCCAGGATGCTTGCTCCCTGCTCCTATGGAAGGGAGACAGAACAGAGATGGGGGCTCCCATCCTTCCTCAATCTTCCCATCCTCTGCCTCCTCTGCCCTGCTTCTCCCTCGACATCCCAGTGTGGCTTCTTCCATCGGAGCAGCCAGCGCTCGCCTTTTCCCACCAACTATCACCGGGCCTGTCTGGCTGTGCAGCCTTCGGCTGTGGAAGTTGGGGGTCCAGGGACTGTGGGGTAACAGTTGTGTGTGTGCATGTGTCTATGTGTGTGTGGATATGTATGTGTGTGACTATAAGGAGAATTCCCAGCATTCAGGGGACCAGGAATGTTGAGGGTGAAAGATGAGATTGCATGAGAGTGATGTGAGGTGAGAGGTTACTAGAAGGGTGCGGATATAAGGGTGAGTCTCCACAGCCTGAGTCGTGCACCAAGGGTTGGTGGGCTCATGGAGTGTGAGCATGTGGGAGTGTGGGGTGGCCCCATGCATGCTTTTTCTATGGGCATGAGTGTGCAAGGAGATGAATGTGTAAGGAGGTGCTATGCTATGCAGTCTGAGCATGTAGGAGTCCTGGGCCTCTGAGTGTGAGTGTGCAAGGGGCACAATCCCAGCCTGGTGTGTAGGGGCCAGCATAGTCCTGATTTAGGGTGAGGCTAGACTACTGTATTGATGGGAGGGAGGTGCTGTAAGGGGCATGCTGCCCGAGGTATAAGTACACAGGGTGCATGTTTATGGGGCTTGAGAGGCATTATTCTAGAGGTGCAGGGGTCTAGGAAGCCACTTTCTTCCTCAGATCTCGTTTGTGTTCTGGGGGACACTATTGGGTCTCTTAAGAAGCTAGAGTGGGTGGAAATCTTGAGTCAGGTCCTGATGCTCCACCCTCAAGCCTCTCTTTCGGGGACCAAGGGAGATGCCCTTGGTCCTGTCTCTTGGACCCTCTCCTGGTCTCTGTCTTGCTGTGAATGAGAACCCGGGGACCCAGCACTGATGGGATCACTGTGGGCGCTGCCCACTGCACTTGATGCTGTTCAGTCTGTCTCCTTTCTGCCACAGCAGGGATGGTGAGGGCAAGGAGCTGCGCTGCACTAGGTGTCTGCTCCAGGGACCGCAGCTCTTCAGGCTCCTCACGGTCAGGCCTGGTGTCCTTACAGATGGGATTCTTCAAACGGGCGAAGCACCCCGAGGCCACCGTGCCCCAGTACCATGCAGTGAAGATTCCTCGGGAAGACCGACAGCAGTTCAAGGAGGAGAAGACGGGCACTATCCTTAGGAACAACTGGGGCAGCCCCCGGCGGGAGGGCCCAGATGCACACCCCATCCTGGCCGCTGACGGGCACCCCGAGCTGGGCCCCGATGGGCATCCAGGGCCAGGCACTGCCTAGGTTCCTGTGTCCAGCCTGGTTTGTGGCTCCTCTCCACCCCTTCCCCAGAGATGGCTCCTTGGGATGAAGTGGGTAGAGTGGGCTGCTGGTGTCGCATCAAGATTTGGCAGGATCTCCTTCCTCAGGGGCACAGACCGCTCGCACCCACAAGAACTCCTCCACCCAGCTTCCCCTTAGAGTGCTGTGAGATGAGGGCAGGTAAATCAGGGATAGGGCCACGGGGTGAGGTGAGAAGGGCAGGGACGTCCTGATGCAGAGGTTGGGAGAAGGGATCCTAATCCCTCTGTCCCCCGTTCACCCTGTAGAACAGGACACCAACGACCTGGCTCCCTAAGAAGTGCCTTAGCCTAGAGGGTCAGGGAGAAGGCTGTGTCACTGACTCAGGGGCTCCTCCTTCTCTAGTTTCTCCTCTCCTCTGACCTTAGTTTGCTACATCAGTCTAGTGGTTTCATCTATTTATTAAAAAATGTTTGAGAACAAAACCTCTGCCTCCTTAGACTCTTTCCCCCTCAGCCTCAGCGTCTCTGATTCTCCTTGGTGCCCTCAGCTCGGGATGAAGGTGGTAGTGGGGAGAGAGGGTCGGGGGGCTTGGCAGGGATGTAGGCACCATGACTTTTGTGGCCAGTTCCTGTAGCCTCAGGAGGAGAGCAAGGGGAGCTTTACCACGGGAACAAAGGAAAGGGACAGGGAGCTGTCCTAGAGGACAGGTAGGCAAACGTCGGGAGATCAGTGCAGAAACTTGCAGTTAAGGATCCAAGCGTTTCCTCCCTGTAGTCAGGGTAGAAGTACAGTTTTTTTACTGTCGAAGGAGGAATTGAAGTTAGAGATTGCCCTGGCAGAGGCTGGGGAGAGATGGACTAGGAGGTGATATGGGAATGGCTTCTCTCACTCTGCTAGGTCCCTCTCAGTGGAAGATAGATAGGTTGGCGAGTGGTTTGTTCTAACTGGAGGCTGGGGAGGGAGCAAATGAGTGCCTTGGGGCTTGGGAAAGGTTATTTCACAGCCTTTCCCATGATGTGGGGCCCAACAGGTAGCCACTTGAAGAGAGGGGGCTGTCGTTCCATTTGGACTTCGGAGAACCCGGCCTTCTCAAGATCCTTCCAGGTCTCTCTGGTGAGGCAGCAGCCGTCCCCAATGTGTTTCCACGTGGGCTCCACAACTTGCTGCCACGTGAGGGCCCAGCTTCCTTGTGGTTCCGCCACGTGCTCCCAGAAAAAGAGCACACCTCCCTGGGAGGGAGGAGAGAGTTAGTGTCGCTTGGCTACGTCCAGACTTCGCCCCTATTGCCCTGATCAAATGGTCAAACTTCCTGGTGAAGTAAGAGCTGCTGGTCTGAGAGTTCATGGAGCAAACTGTCGTGCCCCTGACCTTTTCTTTCTTTCTTTTTTCCTTTTTTTGAGATGGAGTCTCACTCTGTCACCCAGGCTGGAGTGCAGTGGTGCAATCTTGGCTCACTGCAACCTCTGTCTCCCTGGGTTAACCGATCCTCCTGCCTCCGTCTCCCAAGTAGCTGGGATTACAGGCACCCGCCACCATGCCCAGCTAATTTTTTTTTTTTTTGTATTTTTAGTAAAGACAGAGTTTCACCATGTTGGCCAGGCTGGTCTTGAACTCCTGACCTCATGATTCGCCCACCTTGACCTTCGAAAGTGTTGAGCTTACAGGTATGAGCCACTGCACCTGGCACCCTGACCTTTTCTGTATCCCCTGCTACTACCTTCAAAGTGCATGTAAAGAACCTCATAACTGAAGGGGATGGCAGGTGGGAGATCTTTAAAGTCTGATCAGAATAGCTGAGGGCACACAGAAGGGGAAATTGAGAAACAGGAGTGGAGGGCTCATTGTATTTTTTTTTTTTTTTTTTTTTTGAGGCAGAGTCTCAGTCTATTGCCCAGGCTGGAGTGCAATGGCATGATCTTGGCTCCCTGCAACCTCCACCTCCCAGGTTCAAGTGATTCTCCTGCCTCAGCCTCCCAAGGAGCTAGGATTACAGGCATGAGCCACCACACCCAGCTAACTTTTGTATTTTTCAGTAGAGACAGAGTTTCAGCATGTTGACCAAGCTTGTCTCTAACTCCTGGCCTCAACAGATCTGCCTGCCTCAGCCTCCCAAAGTGCTGGGATTACAGGTGTGAGCCACCTTGCCCGGCTGGGCTCAATGTATTCTGAGACACACGCACCAACCTCTCTTAGGAGACCCAGCTGCATACACAAACTGCTTCCTGGACATCACTGTGAACAACCCAGGGAAACCTCAGGCCCAACTCTTGACTGAAGCTGGGGTTCCTCAAGCTCCTTGCCTCACTATATTCTCCCGAGGTGATCACAAACCTCTTAAGTCCAAAACTTTCTTCCATCTCAGCAAATGGCACTTTCATCGGCTCTCCCCTCCGTTGTTTGTGCTAGAAACCTGGAAACCATTCTGAACGTTCTCTCCACAGTCTAATGGATTCTACTCTACTTCCCCGACTATCTTTCTTTTTCATTTTTCCCCCAGCTTATAAAGTCCTATCCCCTACTCTCTTTATCTAGAACACTCTTTCATTTCCCCTACCCCATCCACACTCTGCTTAATCCCTCAGATCTCTTTTTTTTTTTTTTTTTTTTTTTTTTAGACAGTGTCTCACTCCTGAGTTCTGTGGCCCAGGCTGGAGCGTGGTGGCACAAACATAGCTCACTGTAACTTTGAACTTGGGCTCAAGAGATCCTCCCACCTCAGGCTCCTGAGTAGCTAGGACTACAGGCTTGCACCACCATGCCTGGCTAGTTTTGTATTTTTTAGGCAGAGATGGCATCTCACTATGTTTCCTTGGCTGGTCTGGAACTCCTGGGCTCAAGCCATCCTCCTGCTTCAGCCTCCCAAGCACAGATCTCGATTTAAACATCAGCCCCTTAGGTGTGCTCCCCGCTCCCCTCCCTGTCCCACGGTGGTAGATGATTTCACCTGTTGCTTTCACAACACCCTATTGTGCTCGTCATGGCACTGGTCATATCTCAGCAGGTAGGGTGGATGGGGTGTCTATGTGCTACTTACTACCTCAGACGCCTCATCCTGGCGGCTGAACCCTGGGGCGGCTGAGCTGCATTTGCCTGCCCCGCACCCATCCCCCTCCCACGCTGCTCACCGGCCTCAGTACTCTCTGGACCTCCTGCAGGACCTTCCTTGGGCTCTGCACAGAGCACAGCACCAGGGTGCAGACCACCACATCCATGGAGCCATCAGCCAGCTGCCTCATGTCCTCTCCAGGAGCCACCACGAACCGCTCGTATTGGAGATGCCTGTTTTCAGCCATGCTCTTTGTCAGGAACTTCTCAAAGTGGGGATTTGGGTCCAGGCAGGTGACCCTGCAGCCCGCTGGGTAGAACTGAAAGTTGGCACCGGTGCCACAGCCCAGCTCCAGCAGGGCCACTTTCCCGGAGGCCCCCATGAGCCCCTTGATCTGGCTGAAGAGCTCCCGTTTCTTGCTCTCCATCTTGCGGTTGCTCTTGCGGGTCAGCACAGCCATCAGGTAGGGGAAGTAGGTTTTGCACAGGGGCTGCCAGCAGCCCAGCAGAGCCATGAGGTGCAGGGGCAGGGTGAGAAGCAGCACCAGCAGCTGCAGGAGTGGGACCAGGACGTCCATGGCCGACCAGCTCTGAGCGGTGCTGCCGCTGGGGCACTGGCCTTTTCCCTGCTCAGCCTCAGCAGGCACTGGCGTCCCTTCCCGCTGTGATGGGACTTTGCTCCTTGTCTCCTACTTGGCAATTTCGTCTTTGCCAGGATCGAGTGGGTGTATGAAATTCCTCCAGAGAGTGAAGGCCCCACAGCCCCACAGGCTCTTTAACGACCTTTATGTGGGCGGAGGGACAGGTGGTGCCCATGTTCCTGAGTTCTGGGGCACTGTGCCCAGCTGAAAGGGGGCGGGGTTGCTGAGTCATCTCAGAGGGAAGTGAGAAAGAGTAAGGGGATATGTTTCAGATCACAGACTCATGGCCGGGCGTGTGGGGGCTGGCGGGGCGCTGGAGGGTGGGTAGCGGCAATGCTGGGGACAGAGATGACTCATGGGACATGTCCTGGCCTCACTCCATCTTCAAGTCAGGCTCTTCAGAGGGGCCACAGGAAGGAACCGGTGCTCTTGGCAGAGGAAAAAGTAGATGTACAGGACAGAGACAGCATGCCCTCTTCTGGAAAGGGTGAGAAGTTTAGTTCTGTGGGGAATTGGGTGAACTGGAGAAATGTGGGTAAGTGAGGTCAGAGAGTAATCACTCCTTAGAGACTCCCTCCCTCCCTCCCTCCCTTCCTCCTTTCCTTCCTTCTTTTTTTTTGAGACAGGGTGCAGTGGCACAGTCTCAGCTCACTGCAACCTCAATCTTCCCAGGTTGAAGCCATCCTCCCACCTCAGTCTCCTGAGTTTCTGGGATAACAGGTGCACACCACCATGCTCAGCTATTTTTTTAAAAAATGGAGTCTCACACTGTGGCCTGGGCTGGAGTGCAATGGTGCAATCTCAGCTCACTGCAACCTCCACCTTCCAGGTTCAAGCGATTCTCCTGCCTCAGCCTCCCTGAGTAGCTGGAATTACAGGTGCCCACCACCATGCCCAGCTACTTTTTTTGTATTTTAGTAGAGACGGAGTTTCACCATGTTGCCGAGTTTGGCCTTGAACTCCTCAGCTCAGGCAATCCACCTGCCTCAGCCTCCCAAGGTGCTGGGATCATAGGCATGAGCCACCATGCCCAGCCTGCAGTTGCTTTGAGGTATAATATGTCTAAGAAGGTTTACATATTTACAGTCTATAATTAGATGAATTTTGACACAGTATATACCTGGGAAACCATTACCATAGCCAAGATAATAAACATGTCTATGTGCTAGGCTTTTGCATTGCTGAAAAGAAATACCTAAGAATGGTTAATTAATTAATTTATTTTTTTTTGAGATGGAGTTTCGCTCTTGTTACCCAGTCTGGAGTGCAATGGCGCGATCTCGGCTCACCGCAACCTCCGCCTCCTGGGTTCAGGCAATTCTCCTGCCTCAGCCTCCTGAGTAGCTGGGATTACAGGCACGCGCCACCATGCCCAGCTAATTTTTTGTTTTTTTAGTAGAGACGGGGTTTCACCATGTTGATCAGGATGGTCTCGATCTTTTGACCTCGTGATCCACCCGCCTCGGCCTCCCAAAGTGCTGGGATTACAGGCTTGAGCCACCGCGCCCGGCAAGAATGGTTAATTTATAAAGAAAAAAAGTTTAATTGGTTCACAGTTCTTCAGGCTGCACAGGAAGCTCGGTACCAGCATCTGCTCAGCCTCTGGTGAGGGTCTCAGGGAGCTCACACTCATGGCGGAAGATGAAGGGGAGCAGCGCAATACACGGCAAGAGAAGGAGGAGAGATCTTGTGTGAACTACCAGAGTGAGAACTCACTCATCACCAAGGGAATGGCACTGAGCCACCCATGAGGAATGCGACCTCATGAGCCAAACACCTCCCACCAGGCCCCACCTCCGACACTGAGGATTACATTTCAACATGAGATTTGGAGGGACAAATGTCCAAACTATATCAATCTATCAATCAAAAAAATTTTCTCGTGCCTCTCTGTAATCCTTCTTTCCCTCTTCCATCCTCATCTTCAGGTAACCACTGATCTGCTCTCCGTCAGTATAGATCAGTTTGCATTTTCTTTTCTTTTTTTTTCTTTTTTGTTTTTTGAGATAGAGTCTCACCTGGTGGCTCAGGTTGAAGTGCAGTGGCATGATCTTGGCTCACTGCAATCTCTGGCTCTCAGGTTGAAGTAATTCTCCTGCCTCAGCCTCCATGGTAGCTGAGATTATAGGCACGCACCACCACGCCTGGCTAATTTTTGTACTTTTAGTAGAGATGAGGTTTCACCATGTTGGCCAGGCTGGTCTCAAACTCCTGATCTCGGGTCATCCGCCTGCCTCGGCCTCCTGAATAGTTTGCATTTTCTAGAATTTTATGTAACTGGAATCCTATAGTATATGGGATTTCAGTATCTGGCTTGTTTCATTCAGCATATTTATTTGGAGTCATCCATGTTGTACATGCATCAGTAGTTCATTTCTATCGCTGAGTAGTATTCCATTGCATGCACATACCGCATATGATTTTTATCCATTCACTTGTTGATAGACTTTTGGGTTGTTTCCAGTTTCTGAATGTTAGAAATAAAGCTATTATGAATTGTTTATGTACATGTGTTTGTGTGGACTTATGCTTTCATTTCTCTTGGGTAAATACCTGGGTGTGTATTTTTTTTTTTTTTTTTTTTTTTTTGAGACAGAGTTTCACTCTTGTTACCCAGGCTGGAGTGCAATGGCGCAGTCTCGGCTCACCACAACCTCCGCCTCCTGGGTTCAGGCAATTATCCTGCCTCAGCCTCCCGAGTAGCTGGGATTATAGGCACGCGCCACCATGCCCAGCTAATTTTTTGTATTTTTAGTAGAGACGGGGTTTCACCGTGTTGACCAGGATGGTCTCGATCTCTTGACCTCGTGATCCACCCGCCTCATCCTCCCAAAGTGCTGGGATTACAGGCTTGAGCCACCGCGCCCGGCCCTGGGTGTGTATTTTGATGTCCAAATTGCCATAGATTTGGCTGGGGGAACATCTGCAAGCTGGCGCTGTCTCCTTTTGACACAACCCCACCATTCTTTGAGCATTTTCTTACTTTCTGCTGCAACAAGATGTTCAGGCTCATCTCGTATTTCTCCTGCTCCAGCCCTGAACTTAGCCATTTCTCCAAGAAGCACCGCTGGTCTTTATGCAGAGGATGGTATCTAAAAGCCATGATCTGAATGCTGGATGTGATTATTGTTACTGGGAAGTAATTGCTTCTGGACCTGCTCCATGGACACAGAAAGAAGCAAATTTGTATTGTATTAACCTGTACTTTTTATTTGCTCTTTTCTTTTCCTTTTTTTTTTTTTTTTTTTTTTAAGACAGAGGCTCACTCTGTTGCCCTCCCAAAGTGCTGGGATTACAGGCATGAGCTGCCACGCCCAGTTTATTTGCTCTTTTCTGTGAGAGCTTGAATGTTTTTTTCCTTTTTTTTTTTTTTTTAGAAAGAGAAAAAGAATAATAAGAAAAAGAATAAAGAAGAGGAAGAAAGAGAAAGAGGAAGAGGGAGAGAGAATAGGGGTATTGCTTTGTTGCCCGGGCTAGAATGCAGTCTAAATATGGGTATGCCTATAATTATTCTTAATAACGGAGACATGAAAGAAAATGAGGGAAGAGAGTAACAAACAAGGAGCCAACCAACATTTCATTTAAACTTCTAAGTTGATATGATGTGGTACTGATAAGAGTGTATATTTTGTGTAAAGTGGAGAGTTCTATAAGTGTTAATTACGTTTACTTGTTCCAGATCTGAGTTCAAGTCCTGGATATCATTGTTAATTTTCTGTCTCATTGATCTGTCTAATATTAATGTTGAAGTCTCCCACTATTATTGTGTGGGAGTCTAAGTCTCTTTATAAGTCTTGTAAGTCTGGGTATTCCTGTATTGGGTGTGTATATATTTAGGACCTTTAACTCTTCTTCTTGTTGCATTGATTCTTTTATCATTATATAATGTCCTTCTTTGCTTCTTTTGATCTTTGTTGCTTTAAATACTATTTTATCAGAGGCAAAAATTGTAACTTCTGCTTTTTATTTATTTATTTTTGCTCTCTGGTTAGTTGGTAAGTCTCTCTCCATCCTTTGTTTTGTGTCTTTGTGTATCCTTGAATGTGAGATGAGTCTGGATGCAGCATACAGTTTTAGTTTTTTGTCCAAATTGGCTGTCTGTCTTTGAATTGAGGAATTTAGTCAATTTAAATTTAGAATTAATAATAATATATGTGAGTTTAATACTGCCATTTGCCCATTAGTTGATATAAATTCTTCATTATATTAATGTTCTTTACTTTTTGGTATTTTTTAGAAAGGCTGATATTGTTTGTCCCTTTCTATGTGTAGTGATTCTTTCAGAAGCTCTTGTAAAGCAGGCCTGGTGGTGATGAAATCTCTGAGTGCTTGCTTGTTCACAAAAAACTTTATTTTTCCTTCACTTAGGAAGCTTAGTTTGGCTGGATGTGAAATTCTTGGTCGAAAATTCTTTTCTTTAAGGATGTTGAATATTGGTCCCCACTCTCTTCTGGCTTGTAGGGTTTCTGCTGAGAGATCTGCTGTAAGTCTGATAGGCTTCCCTTTGTGGGTAACCTGACCTTTCTCTCTGGCTGCCCTTAGTATTTTCTCCTTCATTTCAACCCTGGTGAATCTGACGATTATGTGCCTTGGAGTTGCTCTTCTTGAGGAATATCTTTGTGGTGTTCTCTGTATTACCTGGAGTTGAATATTATCCTGCCTTACTAAGTTGGGAAAATTTTCCTGAATAATATCCTGAAGCATATTTTCCAGCTTGGATTCATTCTCTTCGTCACATTCAGGTACACCTATCAAGCGTAGATTAGGTCTTTTCACATAGTCCCATATTTCTTGGAGACTTTGCTCATTCCTTTTTATCCTTTTTTCTCTAATCTTGTCTTCTAGTTTTATTTCATTAAGTTGGTCTTCGACCTCTGATATCCTTTCTTCTGCTTGATCAATTCGGCTCTTAAAACTTGTGCATACTTCACGTAGTTCTCGTATTGTGTTTTTCAGCTCCATCAATTCACTTATTTTCCTCTCTAAATTTTGTATTCTTGTTGACATTTCGTCAACCCTTTTTTCAAAGTTCTTAGTTTCTTTAGATTGTGTTAGAACAAGTTCTTTTAATTCACAGAAGTTTCTTATTATCCACATTTTGAAGCCTGCTTCTGTAATTGGAACACACTCGTTCTCCATCAAGCCTTGTT